GAGACTCGGGGAGAGCATCGGTTGCCAAAGGCTTTAGTTGTTACATGCATCCAATAATCTTCTTCTCCAAAATGGATTTTAGTCAGAGCAATTTATTTGGATACATAGAAGACCTGCAGGAGCTAACTATTATAGAGAGGCCAGTACGCAGGAGCCTGAAGGTATATGCTTCAAAATAGAACGATGCTTTAAAATCCATTTGAAATTGTGTCTGTTTTATTTATGCACAGCTAACTGAATAGGCAGCTTATTTTTTATGGCACCAGGATACTAAAAATTGTTTTCAGTCATTTTGGAATAAACAATCTCGAATTCTATATAGCAGGGACTTAATATTTTCAGTATAAGAATATTAAGCTGGAAAATACAGACTAGCTTAGGTCTTTAATTTATATGTGACTTGTTTATACTTTGAGTGATTAATAGTGTCTGACATGGAACTGTACTTCTATTGCATCCCATCTTTTCCTGGCGAAAGATTTATTTGATTGAATTTGAAATGTTGGCTAGAGATTTCAAGGATTAAATTCAAATTACTCGTGGAGCTATCCCTTGATGTGGGGAGGAAGGGGTTGTTTTACAAAGATTAAAATTAGGAAATAGTAAGGCATTGCAAACTCATAATCTCTATTTCACGCTTGACAGACACCAGAAGAAATAGAAAGATTGACAGTTGATGAAGAACTCAGTGATATTGAAAGGGCTGTTTATCTACTCAGGTATTTCCTAAAATATTACTGTGAAACATTGTGCTTACCTACAGCTTTTTTTAGTGCTTTACTCTTCACTCCTTTTATTTTCTGTCTTTCAGTAGTAGTTTTTTACTTTCTGCTACGTTAAACGCATAGACAAGATAAAAATAGGTACTGTAATTTTTTTTAAAAATGCCTAGAATAGGATGTCTGTGTACATGTATAAACATTTCTTTTCTGAGTTTCTAATATGGCCCTCACCAACACTGAGTTGGACTTCATCTTCTTTCCCCTTGCAGTTGATTTTGCAAGATTCCCTGAGTGTTAACATTAATAACACCAATAATTCAGTGACTTCATATTCACTCTAAGCCATGAGCGGTTACCACAGACTGATAACAGAGCTGTTTGAGCATACTGTATACATCTGGGCTTTCAGAAGAGGAAACTTGATTAGTTTTATAGTCCTTAGGAAATACTGTAGAAGAGAATATATTAATACATTAATACTTCCCTGTGTTCTGGTGTACCCCTCCTTCTTCTTGTTCGTTAAAGTATTTATTTGCATCTACTTGAATAACTTAAATTTCGATAGTTTAAAATACAGATCTTTCAACTACTGTGTAAGTCCTCTTTGAGAGTACAAATGTTCTGAGGGATTTTGATTTGAATATGCATTTTTAAACAATACCTAGTAATTGGAGAACCAGCTGCAGCTCCCTCTGCTTATTCTGCTATTTTAAGTGCTCTTCTAGTCTATGCCTGTCCTCAATGTTTAGAGTACATATTCTCAGTGCCTTGATTTTCTCTTTTTGGGGTGCGTGGCATTATGTTTAGGTAAGCATATTTGTCCACTGATACTACTTTTGGTACCGAATTTTATGTTTTTTTTAATGCTGAACTTTATTAAACAGTGGATTTTAAAACTTGCTTTTCTAATAGTTCCTGTAATCAAAGCAGTCTGTTGACTCTAGGGAAATTCAGAGGAAACAGTTTGCATGTGGTGCATATCATTGCAATGGATGCATATCAATTTTGGTTTTTACCTCACAGCAATCAGCATAGTTGACTCATTTTTTGGGTTTGTTTTTTTTTTTTTTCCTTTTTTGCCTGTGTGGCAGCAAATTTCTTTGCTCTTTTCCCCATTAAAGATCATGTTTCCAGCAATATGTCTTTACTGGATCATTGCTTTATTAAAGGGTAAAAGGTTCCATTTAGTATCTTTCATCTTACTAATTGCTTTTCAACCTGGCCTTGAACTTCTCCTGACATCTTCATCTGCTTTCTCTCTACTTGAGCAGCTGTTCTGGGAACATAACATTGTTTTCCTTGTGATGAAGTTTTCTTTTTTGGCTCTGCATTGTCCTCATTGCTGAAAGGTAGCTTCATCTCTGCTTGATAAGCTTTTTGTAAGGCAATCACTTGCTGTGATTGTCCAGGTGTGTTAATACAATAATTTAGTGGAAGCTTTTGCTGTTCAATAGTATATTGCATTCCCTGTACTGAGTGGAGTATAAGCAAACAGTTGAAAAGCTGCCTGTAACACAGGTAGTATCCTTTATATAATGTACAAAGGTACGTACTTTTGGCTTATCTGGTGTTTTTTAATCTATAATAATACAATACGCCTGCCTGTTCCTGTTTGACAATAACGTCAGTCTGGTCTTTTCATGCCTCATTTTCTCACACAGATGCATTATTTCCTGTCCTTCAGTTTGTCCCTTATGTGGCACTCTCCTTGATGTTATCCAAAAAGACACTGCCTTTTCTGAAAATCCCACTATAAAAATTGATTTGGTGAGATTGAAATGAGTTGTTAATGATGTCTGTGTTGTGCTCCATTTGGAAAGGATGATGCTATCTCCATATGCATAAAAAAAAAAAAAGCAAGAACAATAATAGAAAGCAAATCTCTTATCTTAAATACCTACAAATAGTATCAAAACACTTAATGTTGTTTCACAATGTCTTTTATATTGTCACTTATTTATGTAACCCTAATCTGCAAGTTGGAGATTTTTAATTTACTGAGGAGGATATCTTTAGTGTTGCTTGTACAGTACAATGGAGCTGACTAATACTGAGTGAAACCTTTGTATGATACAGTAAAGCTAATGTTTAGTAATTATTTTCTGTGAAAGTCCAAAAAGAGTCCTCACATTTTAATGGCTTTCATTCTGAACAAAAAAGCCCAAACACTTTCTTCTCTTTTTGCATTCTCCTTTCCCTCCAAAACCTGCCCCCAGCTTCTCCTCCGCACCCTTGAACTTGGATACTCTGGTCTGCTTATATGTGGAGTTGTTGTATGTTTAGTAGATACTTGCTTTTTCTAGATTTCTGCTTCTGAAGTCTTTACTATTGTAGTCTGAAAACAGGTACATTGACATCCTAGTTGGAGAGAATAGTACAGCCTTTTACTGTCTGAGTTTTTTGTGCCTGAATAGTGTTTTTTGTTTGGTTTGGTTGTTTTTTTTTGTTTTTTTTTTTCCTGTGACTGATTCTTGCTATACTGTCTGTATGAGGAAGTATTAATTTCCCAACTCTCATCAGTTTCATCAGTTCATTCTTTTTTCCTCTTGTATTACTTCTCATTTGCCAGTAATACCATGGGATTTCTGGCATGCTCTTTTACTTCTTGATATTGTAAAGTTATTTGTTTTGCTCATCTAGTATGTATTCGTATCCATCTGATGATTATTTTGCGTTTCTGCAATGTCTTGTCTGTCTGTATCTAGTCATGATGTATTGTCACAGATTTTGTAAATTTCTCTTCATTGTCTTCTCATAAGTATGACATAAATATGTCTATAAATGTTCTTAGCACATGGCGAGTACGTTGACACAGTAATCCTGTTTGAAACCTCACTTTCACAGGAATGTGGCTTCATTTTAGTTGGTTTTCTATTGTTACCTATCATAGTTTGGTTTTACATTCTAAAGTGCTAATTGTAATTTTGATAATCCTAACAAGTTTTTATATATATATTTAATTATTATTTTTAGGGGATGACTTCGCTTTCAGTCTCCCCTTTTCTGCCAGTAGTATTCTTCAGATAACTATGTAATGAGGTAGATTGACAAGACGATTTAGCTAAGGCTGATCATTTTTAGTCAGATTAGTTCTCAGCTAAATCAACTCCTTGATTTGGCTCATCATGTGGATATAGAAACAGTAGTGCAAGCAAAAGGAAGGGACTCAGTAGCTCTCCTGGTGGCCAGAGTTGCTTTAATATGACATAAGCATGGGTGAACTTCAGCCCGGAGTACTCAGTTTTAATTAGGTAGCATTCTGCAATTAGAGTGAGCAAGTTCTAATTTAATAAGAATGCAGAAGCAAATTGGACTGTCATTTGTTGTAATCTCAACTAACCTCGATTCTGGTTGAGGAACTGGCTTTCTTAGACCAGATTGTCAGGGATGTTTATGAACTTGCCATGGAAGTCAAATGGATTCAGGTACCTTAAGAGGGAGAGGTATCTGAGTGTCTAGGATCTATGTTTTAGAGCTTCGGCCCGAGTGCTTGGGGGTTTCTGGAGGGTCTAACTGGAATCACTGAAGAGTTGTATTCTGACTGTATTTTGGATGTTGCTGGCCCAACAGAATAACAAAGAGAGCAAAATAGCTATGTGCATCTCAACCATGTCGGTGTCAAGATTGATGGCGTATTGTAAAACCATCAACAGATTAAGACAAGCTGTCAGACTTTGCACTGAGGCAACTGAATAGTTTGCATTCCACTTCAGGGCATCGTGACCTCTACCAGGACAGTGGCAATAAGCAGCTCAGGGACAGTAATTTTTATTCCTGCTATGAACTTTTGCCAGTAGTCTAGTTTCCATGTTTGCTGACATTTGATTGATGTTATTACTTATTTTTATTTGTCTTACTGTAGCTCACCCTTTTATGGCATACAGCCGATAGCAAAATACGTATTCTTTGCCTGATGTGAATCTGGTTTGGATACAAGGATGCTTACTGGCATGCACACTGTAGCGTGGTTTGTTTTCTGAGGACTTTTCTGATAGACTTCCTTAGGGGTTTTACATTGTTGTGTGTACTGTATTATTTTGTATTCAGCTACTCTTTGTTTATTTGTGCCTGCTTAGTGTTAAAGCTTCCAGGCCTTGACATTTCTGTCATACTCAAAATAACAGGGTAGTAATGAGTTACCAAGGTGGAAGATTGAATTATTCACCCTTTTGGGAACATACTGTGCTTTGGTTTTGGAGTGATCCTATCTCTCAGTTTAGCAAACAACAAAATCCCCCTTCAAAACATTTAGCACAGTTTTTGAAGACACAATAGATACTTTATCTAGATTGGAAAGAATTCAATGCCTGTAAACTTAGCATGTCTTTAAAAAAAAGAAAAAGTTGTACTTTATTGTAGCCATCTTTGATTAGCTAGAGTATTCTCAAATATGTTGTTAATTGTGAGTGTCAAAACCACTACTATTTAAAAGATTTTTTAAAATTTTTTTTTTCCTTTTAGTTTTTTAGTCTTCATCATGTTAGTTTTGGAGATTTTCTTTTATCTGTAGGTGCAGGCAACTCACCTTTGAATTTAAATGAAAGCTTTCATTTAAATGCAACTTCAGGAGCTGATTTTCTAATATAAACATTGTGTCAATTTTTTTTTGTTACATACTCGTGAGAACTGGCTACTCTATTTTGATTATATAGCTTCTGAATTTATGATCCTGATGCATACATAGTATACTGCAAGATCCAGCTGTCATGCTAAGCACGTTGGAAAATAATTCTTCCAACTATACTGGCAAGCTGTAAATACTAACATAAAAAGTATTTCTTCAGTCTTTTTTTTTTTTTCTGGGCATAATTTAATAGTGTCTTTTATTTTTTAAATTACAAATTAAATTTTATAAAAGTTTCATTCCTGATTCACTTAGTTGAATGGATTAGTTGCTTGACCTTTACTTTGTTATGCAAATAAATTAATGTATATGAAATTGATTCTTTCACGTTAAAGTGAAAGGTGTACCTGTAGTCTTCAGAAATGATGCTGTC